CCGGAATCACTGCAGCTGTAAAGGGCATTTTTTTGTCGCGCCGTTGGAGATCGACGATAACTTAAAAAATATTTAATTTTTTACTTCAGAAATTTTACTATGTATTCTTAAAATATGTATAAATATATTCCTAAAATTTTGAAATGATTGATAGAGTAGTTTTTTTAATATAAATTCCCAAAAATCACCTTTTTTTAGGCGGTTACACTAGTTGTGCCTAATTATGATATTTGTATTCTAGGAGCATTTTACCTACAGTAAGTCGAGACTGCTGAAAGCTGTTTTACTATTTACTTATTAGTAGATTCATTTTTTAGTATTACATTATTTTAATTTTTGTCACATCTTAGCTGCTTTACGGCAATAATGTAATGTAGTTTCTTTTTTATGAATTTTTCTCATTTATAATCATAAATATATTATATTTTAATGTACTAATATAATATTTTAATATTGTCTTAGTCTTAATGGAAATGTTTGGCTAATGAGTCATTAGCCAAACATTTCGATTCACTTATAGGCTAAGACAATATTAAAATATAATATTAGTATATTAGTAATGACAGTCTTCATTTGTGTTTAATGTCAAACTATGCCTCAAATAATTTCAAAGTACAAAATAATAGAAGTACAAAAAATGATAACCGGTTTTTTGTAATTTTTTCCATTTATTTCTTCAACCTAAGTGTACTTCTAGGAATCAAAAAATCCTAAAAAATTTCCTTAACAAACATCAGGAAGATTTATGAGAATCCGAATAATCGCTTAGGAGGATTAACCATTCATACCCCATCACAGAAGAATTTTAATATTTTAATAGTCATCATTAATTATAAATAATAAGACAGTTTGCTGACTAAAGGTAAGGGTAATGTATAATATAATTAACCTGAATTGCTTTTTTTTATAAAGTGACAGGGTAAATATTTATGATAAGGGTAAATATTTTTTTAAATGTTATGCAATATTTTTTAGGAAAACTTTATTCATCCTGAAGATCCTCAAACAATTTTTTGCCGTATGCCGTGCAGTAAGTGTAAATCTAAGAGAGTGAGTGGATATATGGAAATGAGTGCAAATCCACTCCAATGAGTGTAAATCTCGTTAACGTTTTGTACAGTAATTTGTTATAATCTTTATACTTTTGCATGTATTTACGTTTCAAAACTTTCTGAACATTTTTGCATTCCTTAGAAAAATGTATTTGTATGGGGATGTATGTACGTGTGGATACAATCTTTAGTCGACGTTTTTGGGCGCACGGATCAACCGATTTGAATGGTTCAATATTAGATTCCTATTGATAACGAAATGTGTTGATTAGTTTTTAGCAAAAGCAGGTCCAGCCGTTACGGAGATAAACAGCAAAGAGTGCAGAAAATACAAATCGAGTTTTTGAGAGAACGGAGTATCGGATTTGAATGATATAAAATACATTCAATTTGTCATGATTGGGAGATATGGTTATTAGTTTTTGGCAAATGCAGGCCCAGTCATTTCGAAGATACATAGCTAAATGTGCAAAAAATGGCAGTTTCTGAGAGAATTAAGCATCCAATTTGAATGATTCAAAAAACTCCCTGCTTGTATTGACAAAACAATTGCTTTTGAGGATAAAAAATTATTACATCTTTTTTTATTTTCCATAAAATATTTTTGTAATTTTGGATTAAAAATTCAAAAAATTACCCAGGCTAAGCACAGTCTAAGCGCCACTCTGGTACAAATGTTTACTCAAGTGCGTTTAGACTGTTAATGTGCTGGAGCACTTTTCCAATTTTTTTAAAACTATTGAAAAATGTGAAAATGCCGCCTAGCTAAGCACTGTATAAGTAAAAATGTCGCACAGAATTATTTGCAAATACATTTAGACTGTGACTATGCGGGAACACTTTTTCAATTTTGTGCAAATCAGGCAATTATTTTTTTTTAAATTGAATTCGCAATGCAATGACGATTGTTAATGTTCTGGAGATAAATTGATTTATGATTTATGATTTACATTTTATTTGCTCAGATATAACAATAATCTAGCAAAAATAATGAAAGTTACAGTATTTGTATTAATATATTTGAAAACGTTTAAAATTTCTCGAATATTTCATTACGGTACGGGAAGTTCCAGCAATTTGCCTTAAGGCACGATGCCATACACCACTAGTATGCAATGTTACAGTATTTATAATAATCTATTTGAAAACGTTTAAAATTTCTCGAATATTTCATTACGGTACGGGAAGTTCCAGCAATTTGCCTTGAGGCACGATGCCATACACCACTAGTTTACTTTCTAGTCGCGCCTAAAGAAGTTTTACTTCAAAAAACCTATTATATCCATCGTTACTATTATTATAAAACGTATAATATAAAATCTGTATTTTTCATGATTTGAATTTCAAATTTCGAATCTCCCGCTCCCAGTTCGTTGCCAACTTCGCGCCGAACCGCGTTCATTTGTCATCGATCGCAATTCGCTGGCCATCTGCCTGCGCAGTTTGCTGAGAGTTCCATCGAGAGTGACAAGAAGGCATTATCGCGTGCGAAACAACAGCTTTTAAATCGATTATTCTAGATATTTTATTAAAGTAAATTATTCAAAAGTCCATCGAGGCACTAGTAACATCTAGGCCCCAGGAAAACGTTTTTTAATCTAAATACAACTACACCAGTGTGTTCAGAGTGTGAAGATTTCAGACTGTGATTTGTATGCACACGTTTTTTTGAGGAAAACGTAATTGATTGAGTATTGAGGACGGTTTTTACAATTATCAAGAAGATTGCTATCGCCTAGAGGGGCGTTAATATCTTATATGACTTTAGAAAGATACAGAGGTGAGTTGATACAAATTTTGTAAATCATGTTTGACAAATTGTATTGGGGGTGCAATATGTTGGTGTAAGTTAGGTTAGGTTAACTTTAGGTTTTTTGATTTTTCACTCTCTAGGTACCAAAATGTCCATACATGTGGAAGACAGGTCTATAGATAACTCAAAATATAACTATCAGTCATAATTTACTTATCTCTATGTGTCAAAATTCTCTACGAAAGACAAGATGATGAAAAAATGGTCTTTTGTTTGATAATGTAGTCCTACTGATACCACACTTTCTAAACATGTGCAAGACAGTTCACAACTTCTATAAATAACTTGATTAAGTTATAATTTGTTTGATTCATCTATCTCGATGTGTTTCAAAAGTTTTAACAAAAGGCAATATAGTGATTAAATTCTATTTACCGAGTCGTTCCATTTATAATGGCAATGGTTTAGCCAAAATTAACATGTCCAGGATCTTTTATCTGATTCTATTAATAATCATTAATGAGATATAATTTGATGCATCAATTTCCAGAGTCCAAAATTTCATATTTGCCAAATTGTATTAGGGTGTAATATGTTGGTGTAAGTTAGGTTAGGTTAACTTTATTTTGTCTTGATTTTTTACTCTTTAGGTACCAAAATGTCCATACATGCGCAAGATAAAACTATAGATAACTCCAATTACAACCATTAGTTATAATTTGATCGATTCATTTATCATGTATCAAAATTTCCAACGATAGACCAAGACAATGAATAAATTTAGTCACAGGGTTGATAAT